TAGCTGCAAAAAAGGGAGTTATTCTATAAATTGTAATAACCTCCTGCACTCGGACGCTAGAGTTTACTATGAAAAGTTTCGTATGTCAAAGTCAAATAAGATGCTAACAAATCTCGGGCAACGGATACTTAAGTTACACTTTGGTAGATTATATTATTTGAGCCTCAAATGTCACAAGCTATTCACCTAACCCATATGCTTCAAATAATCCACACGTCGTATTTGACATAACAAACATGATTTATGTAGCATTGTAGCTGTAGACTGTAAACTGAAGTTATGGGAAAACATTCAAGTCTTAACGACATATCTTATTGCTTTGTCTGCTCAAGAAGTAAAGGGGTTTAAAGCTCGCAGACAATATAGTCTATCTACGGTCATTGAACACAGCGAGGAATATTCGTTTTAGTATCAAGAACTGGATGTAAACTCAAATCGGGCATTGTAAGGGTAAATTACTTAAAATATTTTATAAATTCCACCATGGACTAAGCGTAATATTTAACGCACATAAAAAAGAGAGTTTAAAATCAAAAGGTTTTGTTTATTAATCTTTTAAAACTTGTACGGTAACAAAAAATACATAACTTTTATTGGTGACTATTTATAATGTAGACTTTTGAGATGTATTAGAAACCCAGAGAATCTTTTATGTCAAATGGTGGGTTAATTTTCACACGAAACACTTACAAAAATTGAAAAATAGTAGTAATTGTCGTATTAATTCTGAAATACTCATAAAACTACAGGAAAGCCTATTAAAAAGTCCAAACGAAATTTGTATATACATTAGGATTGGATAACTCAAAATTTTGACATCTTTGAAAAACAATCTAATATTATGTAAGTAGAAATACCTTGAATGGAAATGGAGTGGCTGTTTATAAAGTGTTAAATAATCTACATAATTCAGATATAAATTACAGTATAAAATGCATATATTTTAAACTAATGGGAAAATACCTTTATCTTTAAAAGAATGCAGAGACGAAGAGAGCACAGAAAGCAAGGGCATGCCTTGTCTGCCTTCAGGGGAAACTGAGATAATTTTCTCCTTTACGATCGGTTTAATACCTTGATTGCTTTGAGAATTTTGGGTTTGTCCAATTAAAATATACAGTAAAAATGCAAACTTTTCCGGCTTTTCAAAAAGTTTCTCTTTGAATATTTTATCAATAATTTTGATCATTTAAAACTTTAATTATTAAATCACGGTTTTATTTCCAGCTCTTAATGTTGAAAGCAATCATGTAATCGTAATGTGCCCCCAGGATGTATTAAATAAATAGTAAATAATTAAATAAATAAGGTGACTGACTTGTCGTAAATCAATACTAAGGTTTCAAGTGGATTAAAATACCTTTATCCACTAGAAATAATAGGATTAATTGACGACAGGTCAGTAGCCTTATTTATGTTAATACAAACATAACAAAATCGTAATATCCTGTAATTAATATAACTTTATTTGAAAAAAGAGAACTTTGCCTACTTTAACAAATACAACCATTTATTGGTCGTAGGCAGATCTTACTGTCAGTAAATGAAACGCTCATGTTGTAAAAATTTATTAAATAATGGTCTAATGAAACTGATCAGTACAAGAAATATAACCGATTTGTGATTTGATATGAATACGGAAATCAACCGCTTTAACGTGTATATTTAACAATAACGATTATTATCATTGAAAAGCCCTGTTATGCATTTAAGTTAATCTCACTATACAAATAGGTTCTAAGTTTTATAGCACTTAAGAGACCAAGCTATATGTGGTGTATATTCAGCAAAAGCTATATACCTGATATATACCCGCATTATAATGACTGAGGTTGAACGCCCGTTAATGTTTCTGCATTTATAACATCTAGGAAATATACATTCATAACGTAACGCAGTTTCAGAATATCTGGTTCTCTAGATACCCTGTATGATAGAGAGTTAAACATTACACAGTTATAATTTAACTAAATAGTGAAACTGACCTTACATTTTTGAAAAAGTCCCTCGAGCTCTGCTCCAGTGGCTGTTAAATTCCCCATGTTATCCTTATGAAGAACATAATTGTTTACATTTTGATCAGCTGTATAATTTAATTGCTGTTATTTATTTTTCAATTCAATGAAACGCATTGGGTACATTTACTGATTTTGTTTAACTTACATTCTTTCATATAACAATTTAAATAATTCAGAAAGCCTGGACAATTTGATATATTTTACCAAATGAGAAAAATGAATTGACATAGTACTGTATTTCTTGAGAAATCATTGAAAGAACCGTTTTGTTAACCATGGAAATATAGCAAATAAGTCATAGAACACCACCAAGTAGAATAAATAGAGACTTAAAAAATTACTATCGTTATCAACCTATATAATGTATAGGTTATACAAGCAATGAACAAGGATGTTAGCCGAAGTGCTACTATTTTGTAGGAAACATAGACTTAACTTTATGATGATTGGCAAAGGAAACCCCCTCTTAAGTGTGAATTAAACTGGTACGGCAAGGACATTAATCATTAAATATATGTTTTCATAAAAGTCAAGTGATTTGAAAAGAATGTGACTACATCCAAGAAACCTTAATAAAACTGTATCACGACCGTCGATAGTTTTCGTGACAATAATAATTAGGAATGAACTAAATTAGTAACATTTTATTTAAACATGTCTTTTGTAAGAAGTCTATACCAATAATAATATTTGTTTACATCTCATCATAATAATCTAAATAAAACACATTTTTTATTTTGCAGTCTTTATGAAACATCCTGCTCCTTAAAAAGATCGAGTCTCCTTGGAGAATGTACTTCACGCCCGTGTCTAGTTATATTTAAAGCGTGTGTGTGTTATTTATAATAGCTTAAATAAAATCACCTATTTTAATTAAATGTTCTAACGATTTCACGAACCATCAATATTGGTCTAAGAACGGGGCAGTAATAAATAAGGTGTTCTATGAAGTAAAAAATTGGGTTTTTCCATTTTCAACCAACATAACATGACGTTTAGCTAATTCTTTTTTAATAGCTTTGTGGAGTATAAATAAACGAATAATTCGGTACATTAAAGCGTCAAGATTTAAAACAAAATTTAAATTTTCACGTTTTCATAAAAAGAATAAGTAAACAGTTATGGTTTGCTTGTTTGAGGATACATCCTTTATCAAAATTCTTTGGCAAAATAATTGATTTTAATTTAAGCTTTTAACTTTAAACCCACACCTAATTACCTTTGAATTGAAATAAAGATGTAACGGGAAACCTTCTCATAGCAAAGTATTAATTAAAATTAATGTAGTGTGAATATGGATAACATCCAAAGATTTAATGAAATATTGTGGTGAAAATCAGACCAAGCAAGGTTGCTTGCTCTGCATGTTTTCTGCGGCGGGGTGTTTTATATTTACTTGCTTATTTTTTCTTTAAAGTTGTACTTTGAATATGTTGTAGTTTCTTTTGCATTATATTAGTTATTTCACAAACTTAAGTTTTAAAGATAAGGAAGGCTTTAAAAAACCTATTTAGAAACTTGTAAGCTGAAAAGGGGATCTCATTTTCGATCAGGAATCTTGAAGAAATGATTTGAAGTGAAATCCGAGTACTCCCATGTGTATACCATGTTTCGTTTCAGTGCTTCTTTGACCATTCAATTAACTTCAGTTTACAAATAAATCCGATATTTACCACCAGCAAAGTAAGTAAGGTAGGATTTGATTTTGTTTTCAATCCTAATAAGGACTTAAACTTACAGCTGTAAATCAAAGTATGTGAACAAGCTATTAACCATATGTAAGAACCCACCGTCATAGTTATCAGTTCTCAAAAATTGTCACACCCTGTGCGAAAATTATTGGTTCTATGAAAAAAGCCCAAGTATACCTGGAGACTAGGGTCAAAGTAAATACTGTTAATACTGTTCAATGAAATGGCGACCATACATAGTAGGTATTTTAAGCCAAGTATGGATGGAGATGAGTGTAGGATGAGAGGCGCAATCTTGTAGTCTTGTTAGTGACTAAGGCCGACATTCCTTAAAGTACTAAAGTAGTGTAAATCATATCAACTGAAGACCTGAAACCGCAGGAGATGTGTTTCGACAAGCGCGGGATCTTTATAAGAACATGTTTGTCTTGAACGAATTAATTCCAACTAATGTTTCAAAGACCAAAAACACTAAAATATTAATGTTCATGACAGCTGAGTTCATTTTAATTATTGCCCCTTAAGGTGTAGGGTTGTGTAGGACTATTGAAAAACGATTTTTACCATTGAGTTAGTATCAGTAATATAGTTTCCATTCAAAACATAGTCTAACAGCTATGTTATAACATAGAAAAACATATTTACAACCCTTCTCCTACGCAAGTTACTAGGTAATGATGTCATGCTACAAGGGCAGAACACCTTGCGTAGGACGAACAACAGGGTTGGTCTTAATTAAGATGTAGCTACATAGACTACGTACATGCTCTTCCTCTTGAGGATTCATAACTGCAGATAACTTCCACAATTAATTACAAACCTGTGTGTGGAGGAGAACGAATAACCAGTTGTAAATATAATAAAACAAAATACGTGATTTTTCCTCAGAGAGTGGTTTATCATGAATTGGGACAAACATATTGTCTATTTATGATATACTACAAGCTAGCTACTGATATTACCATTTGTTAATATTTTCACGAAATTGTTTCGTATAAGTGTTAACATTGAATAACTATTATCAAAGATTACATATGCTTTTGCGTTAGCATATGTAATCTTTGCTATTATCATTAATTTAAAAGAGCTAGCAAAAACCATCGAATGAAGCAACGATTTATTTAAATGCGTAACGTTTTTAACAATGATGTCACATACTATAGGTTTCACCTTTGTAATACCCTGGCTCTAAAAATAAGTAATTGTTAAGTTCCTAAACGACAAGTAGTTTAATTAATTATTCTAACCATTTCTGCTATTAAAAATAAATATTAAATTGAAATATACTTACACACTGAAGTGATAGACGAAGCAGACCCAGCCTACAGGGTGTTCCAGAAACACGTACACTCGTTCCTGGAAGGTCTTCCCTCTTCTCTGGTGGAAGATGTATTTCGCCTTGAACGCCTGGTCTATTGGAAGATATATAGGATAGTAGGGGTCCGGTACACCCGCGGGCGGAGCTGGTTGCGCTGGTTCCTCTTCGGCGTCCTCCGCCTCGGAGTTGGGCGTCGCTGGTGCGGTGCGCTCGTAGCGACGCTGGTTGCGGCGCTTCTTCATCGGCGTTGGGACGCGCTTGTGGTGGGCTTCGCCGTACCTCGGCATGCGGCGCTGGGAGACGATGGATACACGTGAGTCCTACACCACACTTGGGAATTATACTACGACTACAGTACTAACCATGGGATATGAACATTCGGGTGTGTACAACTATTACTCGATTGTAGTATTTTACTATGGAAACTGGCCGGTACTGGAGGTGTATCAAATTGGTTGCACTACTTATAAATAATAATTTTTATTCATAAATGATTATAACGTTCGTCCAATTATAAATATATGTAGTAACTGTCTAAATAACAAATTAAAACATTCTTTTTTTATTTTGTAAATAAATATAGGATGGAAAAGCATGGGCTTGGAGAGCAAAATATTGAAACCCTTAAAAGGAGGAGTTATTAACAGAATGTTTTCTTGAATAATTCTTCATTTTTTTATATTTTACTATGTCCTTGGCTTTTTAAGTAATTTCCTCTAAAAACGGATAACCCGAATGTTCATATTCCATTTTAACAAACCTAATATGATAAATTAATCAATTTAATTCTATTCCAGTCAGTTACTTGGTCGAGTAAATTAGTAAATTGTACTGTGCTTATACGGTAACCTTTATATTATATTTGTAAAACAAAGAAACCTGTTACAACAATTCTTTATGACTTATTCTAAATATACCAGTACTGTACTATTATATTTGGCTATGCTGTATTTGCTATTAACTGTATCTTTTGCTGTGAAAAAAAAAACTTTTCTTTAATAAATATCAAGCGGGGACCTACATCAACACTGTGTCAGCAAGATTGAAAATAATTTGAAGATAACAAAATTGCAAACCGGTAAAAATTCATACACTCTACGTAACTAAATTGGAAATTATCGTTGCCGTTATTTAATTTAGTAATTTTTATGAGTAAGAGCAAAATGTTTTCATAAAACAGTATACATTGTTAAGATGTATGTATTAGTTCCATAATGTATCACATCTTCACATCTTTCCAGAACACACACACAAACATCTTTCTAAAAATTATACATGGTTAAGTAATTTAAATATCAAACAATGTATGAGGTCTCAGGTTGCCCACGTGGGGTTTGGTTATTGCCATACCCTACAACAATAACCTAACACAACCTGGCCCTAGCCAATTACCTTATACACACTGTGGACATATGTCCAGGGATTAGAAGCCCTTAAACTCATTTACACGCGGGTGGTGTGAATATCGGTCAGTTAGGTTGCCCAGCTATTGGTTACTGGTGTTATTGTCATACCCTACAACAATAACCTCACACAACTCGACCCTAGCCAATTACCTTGTACAAACTGTGAACATGTGATCAGGGAGTAGAAGCCCTTAAACGCATTTACACGCAGGTGGTGTGAATATCGGTCAGTTAGGTTGCCCAGCTGGTGTTTGGTTTCTGATGTTATCGTCATACCCTACAACAATAACCTAACACAACTCGACCCTAGCCAATTACCTTGTACAAACTGTGAACATGTGTTCAGGGAGTAGAAGCCCTTAAACTCATTTACACGCTCTATAGTTTGAATATCGGGTCAGTTAGGTTAGCCAGCTGGGGTTTGGTTACTGGTGTTATTGTCATACCCTACAACAATAACCTCACACAACTCGACCCCAGCCAATTACCTTGTACAAACTGTGAACATGTGTTCAGGGAGTAGAGGCCCTTAAACGCATTTACACGCTCTATAGTTTGAATATCGGGTCAGTTAGGTTGCCCAGCTGGGGTTTGGTTTCTGATGTTATCGTCATACCCTACAACAATAACCTCACACAACCTGGCCCTACATAGCTAGTAGTAAAATTTAAAGTAGACTAACATATGATCACCACATTAATTTAATTGTTAATTATATTAATTAATTGTATTGTTAATTCGAGAAATTTCGACCCAAGAGGAGAAAGCTACAAAGAAGATTATTTGATCATTTGACATAATTGTTTTTAAGACAGTGTTAAGTTTAACTGTAACTTTGCGGCAAAATTTTAAAATTTATCACGTGTTAGTGATATTTTAATAGGTACCCGCGAACAGTAACGATATATTTTTAAGTGATTAGGTGCATTTAAAAATGCTTAATACACAAAAATAAACCCAGTACAATTTACCCAGATTTTCATGTTTGAGAGAATTAATTCCTTGACCACCTCCACATCTTTGTACATTTTGGTTTACAATATTATTGTTTACAAAACTCCATAGTTTGCTTTAGAACAGTGTCTGTAAAAACTAACTAAATTAATCATGATTAATACCGATTTCCCTGTACGATCTGATATATTTGTATCTCGTGCTGTAAAGCGATCTTCAAAAACTTCAATTCGTGATTTAATAATATATTATACCGATTAATTGAAAGGGTACTTTAGATTAATTAAATAATTGTTAACCCAAATGCAAAAGCAATTTTTCCTAAACTTCAACAGCAGTTTACTACCTGTACAAGCATTGTTCTTGTACTACTTGAAATAGTAATTTACTATTAGTAATATAAAATTGTTGTTAACTACTAATAATTGTTTATGTTGGTCCATTTATTTTGACGGGTAACGAGCAACAAGAGCCGAATCAAACACTGTTTTAGAGCGACTACTTCCCTACCATGTTTTATCATAGACAATACTATCCAACCTAGATAACACTGTTGACCTACATTCTGCAGTCGGGCCTTCTCAGAGACGTCGGCGTCGTTGTGGTCGTCGTCCTCGCTGGTCGTGGCGACCCCCACGTTAGTCTGACCTGTGGCGGGCGGAGAGTGACCGAGGGGGGCCTTGAGCACACTGAGCACCAAGTCATCTTGGGACCTCCGCAGCACTTGCACCTCACGAGACTTCCGGAACAGTTGGACCTCTTCCGCTCTGTTCATGACCAGAGTGACCGTCCAGGACAACATCGGAGGCCCATTACCGCGCCTCCACCGGCCCACTCAGAGTCCGGGCATGGTCACTCACTTTCAGAAAATAGATTTCTCAAACATGGTCACTCACTTTCAGAATATAGATTTCTCAAACATGGTCACTCACTTTCAGAAAATAGAATTTTCAATCATGTCCATTCGTACTCAGATAATATTTGATCGTTTGGACATGGTCACTCAGATAACTAACTTGTTGGACATACCACACTCAGATATGTAGGATGTCCCACATGGTCGCTCACTGACGTTTCGCTTTGCTTATCATTTACTTCTGAAAACGAACTTGTCCACCATAGGCATACTCACTTTCTTTGATAAAGTGGGAATGTATGCATGAATCAAATTGTAACTCCCATTGTAGAATTCGCTAGAACAGAATAAAATGGGTGAACACTTTTGCCTCTCCTAATAGTAAAAGGGTAGGCAAAAGTGTTCGTCTGAATTTAGGGTAAAGATCAACTTATATTTTCATGTTATTGTTTGATGATTTATAAATACTTGAAACCTTTATAGATATGATTTCTAATTAATAATATTCATAATATATTTTTATGTACAGTATGAATTAAGTTACGTTAATGGGAATCGGGGTCACTCAATAAAGGGGTCAATCAATGTTAGGTCATCAAATTACTATTTGTTACACCTTTTATTTTTCTTGACACTGGCAATTTTTTGCTTGCATCTGAGTTTACTGACCTGTCTTGAGGTCTATAAATCCATTAAAATTTACCAAGAGCTTGACTTTCATTACGATGTTTTTTTAGTAATCTGTCTTGAAATTACTGAAAAAACTTTGATGCTGACTCATTGATGAGTGATGAATCAACATCAGACCGTTGGTAATTACATTAATAATACGTAATTTGTGAATCTGTGTACGTTTAATTGTAACTGAAAATATTTTATATTTTAAGGATCTAGAACTCAGCTCAAAAATTTTGATTTTTACACCCTATTAGGTCAGTAAGCACTGAACCGATTAATACACAACTTAAGTATACAGTATTGTATATATGGTTACAAAGACTACTAAAATTATATTATTTTATTCCATAAATAGAAAAGTATTCAAATAACATATTTTGTCGTACGCTTAACTTAGGTGCAGTATAAGTATGCATGTATATCAGCAGGTATTCCCTGTGCATTCCTTCTCCATAGCAGGGACCACTGAGATCGAGAGCCTAGGCCATGTCAAAGCTAGTGTATTTTCATAACCCCGGTGTTACTCCAAATATGCTTTGTAACAAGAGCAAAGTTCACATAACACTACCGTAGTTGAAAGAAATCACTAGAAAATGTACCTTATCCGGTTAAAAAGTAACTAAGATTTTTGAAAAAAAAAATCATTTTGATAATAATATTTTATATTCGTTAAACTCTTAAGTATCGCTGTTTACCTTCACAATAAGCACAAAATAATGACTAATAAAAACTAAGACTATGTAAGTCTTGTTTTAATTTTAATTTTTTTTTTTTTTGATGAAGTTATGCTTTACGCAGTGTTTACAGTTCAACTCGATAGCTAACTTTTATTTGAATTAGTAATTGTATGCTAACAATTAAAAATATAACTGAAGAATAAGATAAGCACCGAGTAATGTCTAAAGTAACAATTTAGTTTACTAATCCTAGGATGTTAATAGTCCTGAAAGGCTAGAAGCACAACTATTACTTGTTGGGTAACTTAAATAATGAGTTTTCAGAAAATCATACTACTAACTTTAGTGTACCTAAATAAAGCTAACGAAGTCGAGATAGACAATATTTTAAGGGTAGACTTATTGGGTGCAAAAACAGTATGAAACACCCTGAAAACAAAAATCAGGGTTACTAATATACCTTCATATTAATATATTTTTTTTGTATTCATTAAACAATATGATCACTTAACTCGTATCGAATGATTGTATTTACCGATTAAAATTAACTAAATTTATAAGTTAACAAATGCTTCAACTTTTTTTCCAACATCTCCACATGCATTACAAGCAAAGCATAATATTATGTTATATTTTGATCCTTCCTCAAACCCCGTTGCGTTGGAAAACAGATTTACCACCTGCTGTTGGAATAGAACAAAAGTAAAAGTCAAGTTGTTAGTTGTGGTCTAAATGTTTATTGGACTTTGTCGCTAGTTGGGAAACCTGATGACCGCAAGCCAAGAAATCTGACAACTTCCAGTGTGAAGAATGGGTCGAGCGAGGCACATCGGTATAAGCTGCTTATACACTACTACCATACGTCGGTCGCTCACTCACTGTTGATCCCAACACACACTCAAGCACTGTATGATCTCAAAAATAGCCTACACTTTGAATGCGAAATATGCTTGATTCAAGTTAGATAAAAAAAATTTTGAAAATAATTTGCCTTTTGTTTTTTTTTATTATTTTTAATGATATCTACATCATTGACATGTTAAATGTTTTTGAAAGGGAACGGTCCAAACTCTTGTATGGTTACTAAAGGTCAAACTTATTGACAGACAGGTTTCAATTGGGTCCAGAAACGATTTCGTTTGAAATCGAACCAACGATTTTCGGATTTGAGGGTGGTCAGTAGGCTGATTCATATAATGACTAGGCTGCCCAAACAATTAAATAAAACACGACAGCTGCGTCAGATAAGATGCCATTGATGAAACAATAATTTGATGCTACAAGGTTCATTTTAAAATCGATTAACTTAGCATAGGCCTTATGGGGTTAAACATCTTCAAAAATAAATTTGCATGAAATATATATTTTTATATGCCAATGGGGTATGTACTAGCATCTAGTTAGTGTATCGGAATCCTGTATTCCAGGTGACGAAGCTTTATACCCAGCAAATCCCCTCATGATTCTTTCATACAAACTACCAATAGCAAAATAAGTAGACAAATAAGAAAACAATACATGCTTCAGGCTGTTTACATTTTTGATTGGACTGTTAAACATGTTTTTGCAGTGAACTATAAAATCGTAAGGCTTAATTTATTTAAATTATGATCCATATGACACAGAGTTAAACATTGGTTTGATTAAATTTTGTGATTTTAAAATGCAGTAACCAGTGGTTTCATGCTACTGTATTTAGGTGACATTTAAAGGTGATGCATAGGTTATATACGGGAACATTCGAGGAATCGACAAATTTGAATATAAAGCTGAAATGTTTTATATCAAAATATTTGTTAGAAAAGAGTATACGATAAATATTCGAATAAAATGTATTTAAAAATACTCTATTAACAAGAATTTAACTATGATGAAAAAACTGCATTACCAAAGCCTTTTAAAATTTCATTTTTAGGTCCAAAATTTTCTACGTTCCTATTCTATTACCATTTTAATGTACCATATAAAATACAAATGTATCGATTATCACTTCACTATATTACAATGTACTTACACACAGTGTGAACATTAAGTCCAGCACGGGTTTATTATGTTCTGAACGATAACACATAAATCGATAAGATTTGGTACAACAAAATCTACTTTTTGAAGGAATTATCATTTTACTGTCATATCATAGGGACTTCCCGCAAGGGTCAGAAGGAAATCTTAAATAGGTCGAGTTTGGCATCAAATTAAAGGTCTTAATAGAACATATTTCCGCAAACCCGAACTCAAACGGACAACCAATTAAAAAATGTCAGCTGTTCAAACATTAATAGAATTTGCAATGCAATTAAGCTATCTCCTCCGGGGGCGCCCACTAGCAGTCGAAAGAAAATCATAAACTTAAGGATAGGTCGATATGCTTATCAAATTAAAGGTATTTTTTAGTAGAATGCAATGCCACAAATTTTAGCTCAGAAGAACAAATGAGTAAAAAATGGCAGCCATTCAAAGATTTAAAATGGTAGATTCAAGAAATATTTTAAAGGCTACCATTTTTGACTCGGTTGTCCGTTTGAGCTCGGGTTTGCGAAAATTGTGTTCTACTAACCTTTAAGTTTATACCATACTCGACCTATGCTCCTATTTAAGATTTTCTTCTGACTCCTTTGGGACTTCCCCATGATATGACGGAAAACTGAAAGTTCATTTAAAGATGGATTTTTGGTGTCGTGTTGATGTAACAAGTGATTGATTTATCTGTTATCGTTCAGAACACATTTATTTTAAACCCTTGTGGGACTTAATGTAGGACTACACCCCTTATACATAGTCTAATATATACAATTTTCAATGTTTGCACAAATTTGCCCAATGTTATATAAATTGATAACCGACCCATTATCTTGATTAACGCTTAGCAATGGGAACAACAATGTCCTAATCAAAGTGCCCATTACGGTCAAGTATGCTCTTAACAATAAGAAATCGCGAGGCCAAACAGAACAATAACGGTTTCCATAGCTGCGAAATATGATTACAAACATTTCTGACGCGACTGCACTACTTGTGGTCAATAACTATTTGTTTATTATTGACTCTGGACGTGACAGAGCGTGATGAGTGTGACGTCACACAGCTGACCGCGTGTGCGACTGCGCCACTACTGACGTAATCGCGATACTCAATACACGCGTCTAGTACTCGCCACTCGGCCACGCCACACCGTGATGTGAAAACATAATGATCATACATGTTAATTACTTTAGTATTGACTTTTGATGTGACAATCGTGATGTGAAGAGACCAAAGTAGCCTACTGTTCCAACCCTAAAAATCGCGCGAACATTTGCTTGGCTTTATAAGAGTATGATGGAACGATGTTACAATGAACTTTACGAAGAAATTATACAATTTCGGAACGATATCGTTACGGAAATTTGTCATAGGTACATAGAATTTATATGTAGAGTCTAACAAACTGTCTATATTATTATGATAACAATACCATGCTATGCTATTTCCCCACACACGTGAGTTGTTTGAGGAAATAACATAACCTAGCTATTATAATAGCATTAGGTTTACTACTGAAAGGAAAGTTATAAATGTGTTTTTATTGAAATGTTGGTAGCACAATTTACACATTTTAAATTAACAATATTAATCCTACTAATATTATAAGTGATAATGTTTGGATGGATGGATTGTATGGATTGGATGGATGGATGGATGTCTGGATGGATGGATGGATGGATGGATGGATGGATGGATGTTATTACAAGTGAACGCAAAAATACAGGTCGGATTGGGCTGAAATTTGGTGTGATGAAAGCTAACATTCCCGATTAACATATAGACGCAGTCTTATCTCAAAAATACTTTCGGGATCTGCCCCAGTGGCTTCCATGTTAACTTTACGATTATTCATATTTAAAATGAATGAAAGCATTTTGTCAGCGGTTTCAACTTACTACACATGTTGGTTCTATGATATTGAATAGCATTAAAAATTTATAAGTTTTACCAACAGGGT